CAGCCCGTAGGGATAGAGAAGGGGGCTCATTGTGCCTGGGACGCCCATGTGGGCTGGCATATCCCCTGGCTCCAGCCCCAAACTCAGACCAGCAGACCGTGAAGGGGTTCTGAGTACACTGGGTGGGCCCTCCTTGGGACTTCCCAGCCCCCATTCCCCAGCCCCTTACCCATAACCTCTGGGGGAGGGGAGGAAAGGAGACCCCCAATGCTGACCATCTTCAATACCCTTCCTCCTCCGCATCTCCCCCTCCCTGACTCAGATGTCCACTGTCCTCACCTGGGTCCCGCTGAGAAGGGAATGAAAGCCAGAGGTGACCTCTTCTTGATGTTCTCTGGATCGAAGCGAAAGGGGTCATAGATCTGGGGGTGAGAAGCCAAGAAAGGGCTGCTGGGTGGGGTCTCCCAGGACAGCCCCCTTGGGCAGGCAGAAGTGTGTATATTTGTGTGTGTGTGTGTGTGTGTGTGTGTGTAAGGGGTGTCAGAACCCTGCGCCCTCCCCTACGTCCCCCAAGGGGAGTGGACAAGGATAAGGGGAGGAGGAAGCAGCACCTCAGGGTCTGGCCACACGAGTGGGTTGTGGTGGGTTCCAAAAACACTGATAAAGATGCTAACATCTGTGGAAGAGGAGGGGCCAGTCAGGAACAGGTCCCGCTGTCTGATGGGCCCCTCTTCCTGCCTGATGACTCCTCCCCCTGTCATTGCCAGCACCTTTGGGGATGATCCGGCCATCAGGAAGCGTAATGTCCTCGGTACAGCATCGAGAGACCATTGTCACTGGCGGGTACAAGCGCAGACTCTCCTTGATACACATGGTCAGGAAGGGCAGCTGGGCCAGGTCGTCCCTAAAGAACCCCCCCAGCAGTTATCTGGGGTAAAAAACAGAGGCATCCCCTTGCCAGCCCTCCTGCTGCCCCATGAGATCCTCTCTATATATAGTAAAATAAATTCCAGGTGGATCAAATATCTCCAAACTCATTAAGTTGTATACAGTAAATATGTACNGGAAAAAGACTTGTAAATCACACATCTGACAAAGAACTTGTATGTAAAAAATATAAAGAACTTTCCAAATCCAATGAGAAGAAGGTAAACAATGCAAGGAAAATTAATGGGCAAAGATTTGAACAGCCGTTTCACCAAAGAAGACATATGGATGGCAAATGGACACGGGGATAATGTTCCACATCATTAATCACTAGGAAACAAAACTACAATCAAAGTGATAGATATATCATTGCACACTCATAAATGAGTAGGGGAAAACTGACTACACCAAGTACCAGTGAGTGTGTGGAGCAGCTAGAACTCTCATACATTATGATTGGAATTCAAATAACACAGACCCTTTGATAACAGTTTGGGCATTTCTTCTAATGTTAAACATAGACATATAATATGACCCCCCAATTCCCTAATAAAAAATCTTTAAAACAAAAATGCAGGAACCACCTGTCTGTCTCATCCAGTGAGCCTTGAGTGATTCCCCGGGTAATCTGATGTGCCTAGGGCTGATACACACCTTGAAAACCATATCCTTTGTAGGTTAACAGGTATCTCTGAAGCCAAGGTGACGAAATTCACCCAACTCCACCACTCACCAACTGAGTGACCCTGAGCAAGCAAGTTAATCTCTTGGTGTGAGAGTGTTTACCTGCGGGATCCGAAGTGTCCCCTTCTCCCTTCTCAGTGGTCTACTTCTGTGAATAGGACCAAAATCTCTGTATCTGTGAAGTTGCCAGGCCATACATGTTCTATGAAAGGTGTTTAACCACACCCATATCTTACATGAATGTACGTGTATCTATTGCTATAAAAGTAAGATTTCTACACCGAATGTTATTTCATTAAGAGTAACTCAATGTATAATTGATAGCGATATCTCCAGCCATCAATGTGCATGAAGAGAATTCTTGCAAATTCAGGCAAACTTTTAAATTATTTTCTAACATAATGTCATTAAAAAATATATAGTGGTGTTGGGAGCCATGCAGGCTGTCTTTACTGAAGCATAACTTGTTTTGCTTCTTGTTTTGCTCCTTTCTGCACCTGGAGGGTGCTTACTTAACCTTGAGGTATGTGGTGAGAATGGCCAGTTCCTTGGAAGACACAATAAGGTAGAGGGCTATCTGGGTTGATGGAAGAAAGTGTCCTGGGAAACTGACCCTCTAAGTTTTCCACTGACCTTCACGTTTCTAGTAGATAGCTAATGATGTACTTTTGAATGAGGTAATGCATATTTGTCCCTTCTGTTTTGCACGTACTCGAGATGTATATAATGGTAAGGGGAAATAAACTCGGAGCTGGTTGCTAAGAATGCTTCCAGTCCTCCCGGACCTCCTTTGTCCCCTTGTTTCCTTTTAAACCTCGCCCCCCACTTCAGGTACTGTTCTCTGGAACGCCGAGGCAGGACCCCGGCAGAGTGGCTTGAATACTTAACACTTAAGGATTTTATAGACCCCAAAATGACGTTTCTGTATCATGGAAAGATGAGTTAATGGCATGAAAAGATGTTCACAATATATTATTATATGGAAAACCCAGGATAATCAACATATGTATGATAAAATAGCTTTTTTGTTTGAGGGAAAATGCACATAACACAAAAGGTATCATTTTAACACGTACAACTTAGTACATTCACAATGTGGTACAGCCACCACCTCTATCTAGTTCCAAGACATTTCCATCACCCAAAAAGGAAAGCCCATCCCCATTAGCAGTCACTCCCCATCTCCCTCCCCCAGCCCCTGACAACCACCAGTCTGCTTTCAGTCTCTGTGGATTTGCCTGTTATGAACATTTCATATAAATGGAATCCTACAGTATGTGACCTTGTTGTCTGNCACCAGCCATGAGCCTTATCTCTCTCTGGAGCACACATCGGGCACCTAACTGGCTATGAACCTCCCTCTAATTCCCTTGGCCCTTAGCAAGGAGGAGACTCCCAGGAGGGAGAAAGCACTGAGCTTGGGGCCAGACCACCCAGGGTGAAAGCCCAGCTCTGCCACTCAGCAGCTGTGTAACCTTGGGCAAGTGACTTGCCCTCTCTGAGCCTCCTCTTTCTCCTTGGTAAAAAGGTAGTAATAATAGATCTATGGGGATTGGAAGAGTGAGCCTACATGTGTGTCTTCGTTTGGTTTCCCCGGAAGCAGAGTCTGATGCAAAAATTCAAGTTCAAATACTTTATTTTGTGGTGACCCTGATACAAGAATTCAACTGCAAGTTGTTTCTTTGGGAGATGCCATTTGGGGAGGGGGAAGTAAGACAGGGAAGGGAAAACAGCAGGGAAAGGGTGCTTTAGCAAGGAAGTTCCCACTGTGGTCACCTAGGGCTCAGTCCATCTGGGGACCTCTGGGAGAGAGCAGAGAACATACTGCCATTAGTCAGGGCTGCTTGCCAAGGACATTATTTCTCTGGAGTGTCCTGCCTGCTGCAAGCCTGAGGTCTGGGGAGCAGAACATCTGACAGCAGCTATTGCAATGAGCAGGAGTACAACCTGGTTCACTGAATTCAAGACACACACACACACATCTTTACACACATGCACCCACATGTGCGTACTACTTCCTACTCGGTCACATACATCTATGTACACACTTGCACGTGTGCAATCACACACAGACGTGCATGCATCAAATGTGAGCACATGCACACATTCACACACATGTGCATACAATTACATGCACACACATGGACACACACTCACACGTGTGTACACAGTCGACCTCATGTACAGTCACACATACACTTACACACGTACTCCACGCCACACCCAATTAATGGAGACCAGACCTCTTAGAGCCTGTTGTCCTGGAACCGTCCAGCAGAGGGAGCTCCGACACGATCAGGAGAGGAAGGAGGCCCTCACAGCAGCCAGTGACAGCACAGGCCCAGATGTGTCTTAAGAATCACAAACGCAGGTGCAGCCAAATCCTGAGGCATCAAGGTCGATGCCTCCCCT